AGCCGCCCGCGGGGTGAGGCAGCGCTGAGCGGGCGGGCGGGCAGCCGGCGGCCGCGGGAGATGTGCCCGGAGGAGGACGGCGGCTGCGGCGGCGGCGGCGGCGCGGCCGGTACCGGCGGCACGGACGCGGCGGGGGCGGCGGCGCTGGACGAGCTTCGCTCCTGGTGGGAAGTCCCGGCCATCGCGCACTTCTGCTCGCTCTTCCGCACCGCCTTCCGCCTGCCCGACTTCGAGATCGAGGTGAGACCCCGCGGCCCCGGCGGCGGCGGCGCCGGGCGGAGCGCTCCTAACTCGCCCCGCAAACTTTCGTCGGCTTCGCTCCCCCCGACGGTGCCGCATTGTTCGGGGTCCGCCGCGGCACACAAAGGTGGTGGCGGCGGCGGCGCGGGGCCGCCGTGGGGTCCCCGTGACCAAAATGGAGGCGGCGAGGGGCGGGCCTCGACCCCCGGGGTGCCCGGACCGGGCCCTTTGTTGGGGCGCTGGGATCCCACCTGGGCGGACCCCGCCCGCGTCCATGGCGGCATTGTGCCCGCACCTCCGCCCGGGGCACGCTGTCCTCCGCAACTTTCTCGTGGGTTTTTGTTGTTGCTGTTTAATAAGCGTTATCCCAATTCTTATTTCCGCGCGGCTAGCCGGGGCTCTGTGCGCGTTTCCTGCTTCGGCTACAAATGTTGCGGACGGAGCGCGTCCCGGTAGGAGATGCCCCGGCAGGACCCTTTTGTGCCGCCGGGAGCGGCTCCGTGCCGGCACCGCGCCGTCACGCGGGGCTGCGGGGCAGCGGCTGCGTTCGAACGCGAATTCCGGAGATGCTCCGAAGTTCCACGGGATGCGCGAAGCCCCGAAAAGCCGAAACTCCTCGGGCGGGGCGCGGATCTCTGAAGAGGGGGAATCCCTTCCGTGGTGCTAGAGCTGGAAAGGGGAGAAGGGCTCTCAATGATGCAACTTCTAGCCGTCGGGAACTCCCCTCCCCCTCCTATTGATGCAAACCCATCGCGGGGAGGCGCGGGGCTCGGAGGAACCCGAACGTGCGGTGGCCGTGGGGCCGAAGCGATGCGGGACCCCTCGGGCTCCCGGCGCACGTTTTGGGGGGTCCCACCTCTGTGCTCCCGCCGCTGAGACGCATCACATCGTCCCGAGGAGCGCCGGGTGCTGTCACCGGGAACGTGTGCCCTAAGGGATGGGGTTGGAGACCACCGCTCCCATCAGCTTGTGTGAGTGCAGCTGTCAGGGGCTGTCTGCAACATACGGGCAGCTTCTTCCTGTTCCCCGCAGCCCTGCATGGCTGACTATCCCCGTTGTGTTCCCTCCCATCCAGCCCCATCCGTGGTTCTGAGGATCTCAGGAGTGGCACGCGGAGTCTCCTTGCCGTATGAAACGAATGGCTTTCAAAGGGGCTGTTCATTCGGTTCTGTTGTGCTCTCCACGAGCGATGCTGCACGTGGCTTTTGGGTTTGCTCCCCCTTTGGGTTCGAGCCTGCTGCCCGTTCCGGTGTCTGAGATGGGCTCTGTGATTTGGAGGTGTCCCAACCAAATGGAGGTGGTATTTTTCCCAGCCATTGGGCAGTGTTGGGAAGATGTGGAGCGATGTTGTGCACCAGCAGTGCGCTCTCTGTTCAGCTTTGGTGTGCCTGTGGATACACAAGCGTGGTTTGTGGTGTCCCTTCCCCAAAAGCCACTGTCCCTTGGCGGGGGGGGGGGGGGGGGGGGCGGGGGGGGGGGGATGGGACTTGAGCTGCAGGGTGGCAGTGCTCAAACTGAGAGATACACAGTGAGGCTTGTGCGGCCGTGTTCCTGCATCCCTCAGACAGATGCCAGTTCCCCGTGGTGGGATCTCCTTGTCCCAGAAGAGCAGAGCTCTCCTGCCCTCACACCTGGCTCTGGTGGCTCTACCTTGTCTAAGACCTCAGGTGGCATTTGGTGCTGAACTCTTACAGCATGATTGCAGAGGCAATAGTTTTGGCACTCCCCAGTGTTTTTATAACAAGTACCCCCCCCCACTCCCTCCGATTGCTCTGGTTTTACCTTAAGATTCTGTTGCATCAATTGCTGCAGAGCCTCATTTTCCAATATGCTTCACTAAGTAAGAAGGTGTCATTATCTTTTCTTTTGTGCTGATGGCTCTGCTGGTCGGCCTGCCTAGGTTGCACTGCGAGACAGAGGCCATCTGGGGCATCCTCCCACACCTAGCAGGTTCTCTAGTAAGAAGTTTGGGGGCTTGGTTAAAGCGAGACAGCACGGAGCTCTTTCATACTCTTACCTCTCTAAACACAACCCTTTTGCCCAGCGCTTGCTGCCCCAAAGAAAGTGAAGTCTCCAAATGCGGGCTGCCCTTTGCAGTCGTAGACTTGGCTGGCAGATGTTTTTCCTTTTTCCTTGGACCAGGGCAGCCCAGTCTCCCTTGAAGACGCATCCATCAGGCCGGGCGCCGGGCATTGTTCGGGGCAGGGGCAGCCCCCATGCTGGCTCACTTCGGCAGATGCAGGCGCCTGGCGAGCCCGAGGCCCCGGCGCTTTTCAAACCGAGCTGGGGAGGGGGCAGCCGGCACCGGGTCAAAAGTTCAGTGGAGCAACCTCGGTGTGCCGGGACGCAGCCGGGTCCACCCGTGGGCCTGCCCGCATGGCCGGCAGCGCGGCTGTCACCGCGTTGTGTTAGTAAATTCCTTCCCCCCTCCTTTACATGGCTGCCTTGTCAGCCATCTGCCGTGCCGAACTTCCACGCCGCTTCCAAAGTGGGCTCTTGGCTACGCTGCAGTGGTCACGGCTGCTTTCTGAGTGGCTTTAGAAACCAGCGTGTGCTGGGTTTGTCCTTGCTTACTGTAGCAACACTCTGGGGGGAGGAGGTCTGTCCAAATAAGCCACTTCAAAGATATTATTTTTTGTATTTTTGATGGTATATCTTGACCTGGTGGGCGGAAGGGATGCATTCTGCAGTCGGGTCGGTGCATGTGATGATAGGAAGCGATTTGTTTTCCTCTTTAGGACCATGGGACACCTCTCGTGACAAAGTGTCTCCTGGCCACATGCCCTTCCCATTGCGACAGAAATGTCCTCCTGGCAGCTGCAGGGATGTTGGGGTAGAAAAATATGGGGAGAATATTTAACAGCGTTTCAGCACAACTTACAGAAGAGCTGGAGGGGCGCCAGCGTGGCATGGCCACCCAGCTCCTTGGCGTGCACTCCTGGGAGCTTCGGCCCGGGTAGGTCGAGGGGAGGTGACTTCTGAGAGTGTGCTTGGAAATAGTCAAAACACTGTTGTTAACTGCATTTATTTGGAAAGGGGGAAAAGCCACATTACATAGGGAAAACATAAATCTTTTCCTGTGGTTTTTAAAAGCGCCTTTGGGCAAATTGCCTCTGCTGCTGTCTTTGGTATGGCTCTGAGACGCTTTTCCTCTTCCTTTCCTGGTGCTTTGGGCTCCAGGTCTTTCTGTCAGGAATATGATGTGGCTGCCACACATCAGTGGCTGCTGCTCCCATGGGTCCCAGGGGGAGGAGGAAGAGTGTGGAGAAAGGGGATTTGTGCGGTGGCTGTGGAGGAAAGACTGCAGAATGAAGATCTGTTCTGCCTTCACAAACCAAGTAGAGCTTGAAAAGCCAACGTTGTTTAACCTGTTAAACTGTAAGCGTGTTGGGGTTTTAGCACTTCGGTAAACGTGCCCTTCTTTTCTAGGATGGCCAAATAAACCTTAACTTCCACTGTCCCATCGTGTTGGGTGGGACTCAAAACTTCTCAGTGGAGCCCCATGCTCTCTGATCTCTGTGAACATCTCTTGTGATTCATGGCACCAAACTTCATGGCCTTATGGGGGATCAACCCTTGTGCACAGCTACCAAAACGTTGTGCTAAGTCCTCACCCCTCCATCACAGTCCTGGTCCAGCACTGCATTGTTCTTGGTAGTACAGCAGCAGCCGCAGCACCTGTGGGTTGTGTCCTATGGTAGCCAGATAGCTTTGGATAGGAGAACTTTGGATTGAGATAAATGCAACAAGTAGGTGTAACGAGCTGACTGAAATGTAAGTGAAATCATCTAGATCAGCTCTACTCATGCAAGGTAAGTTGGAGCTGGTTTAATGGCCTTTTCAGTAGAGTACTTCAGGCATGGGGATGTGCCTTTTGCCATCTGCCCAAAAGTGGTACACATCTTGGAAATTTGAATGTCAAGTGAAAAAAATGAATGAAATGCTGGGTGAGCTCTGTTGTTCTTCCTACCTGTCCCATCTGTGTGTGTTGGGTTTTATTGATTCTGCAAGCATCTCACTGCTCTCCCCTCATCCCTTCCAGCAGCAGCCCTTACTTTGCCGGTCTTGGCTTTTGCTGCCTTCCTTATTCTGTTAATAATAGAATCATTAGCACTCTGAATGTCAGTATTGGGCTCTAGAGTTCATTGAGATTAATGGACAGGGAGGCAGAGAGATACTTCTCAGAGCCGTTGTTTCAAGTGGTCTGTAAATTGGAAGGCATTGTATCGGTTTAGGTTTCAGATGCAAGGCACATTTTTCACAACCGCAGATCTTGAACTCTTTAACAAGTGTTTACGTTTTGTCTGATGAAACTGTACTATAATTGGATAAAAAATAAAATCAGCGGAATAGGTAGTTCACGGGGCTGGTACATGCATTACAACGTTATCTTAAGCCCCTGAAAAGAAACAAGAAGTGACTGCGCGCAGAAAAAAAAAGGCTGGCTGAACAATGGGCAAGGAAGGTTATTTTGACAGCAACATTTTGAATGGCTCTGACTTAGGTGACAGGGAAGTCGGAGAATGACTGCAGCAGTCGAAGGCTGAAGAGAAAGAGGAAGCAAGTAAAAACTTCAGAGATTTGGATACCATACACGGGGCTTGGTATCGCAGATTTTCTGCGGTAGTTGGAGACAACTGCCTCTCCCAGCAGCACAGCTGAGTGGAAATCCTATCTGTTAGCTGCAGTGTTTGTGAGCTCGCAAGTTAAACGCTTTAAGCTGAATTTGTTTAAAAACCAATTTAAGATAATCTGGTGTAAATCTTTCCCCACTAGGAAAAAAAATATGTTCTGTACAGCAGCTTAAATATGACTTAGCGGTTTGCTTTGTTTACAGAGCCTTGACTGCTGCAAACCTGTACCAGTGTAATGAAGCTGGTGCAAACTCCTGTACGGTGCATCTAAATTAGTCATCGAGTTTGTTCTGCTTGGAATCTGCTAGAGCTAAACCAGCTAAAAGTAACACCTTAAAAGTGTCGCAGCTTTCTGTGCAGACCTTAACTGTGGTCTTTCTCTCCCTGCGAATAATACCGGGGAGCTGTGCCATTCTGCCCCTGGCATCTGTTAAGTGCCTGCATGAAGGGGGAAGAATTAACTTTTGTAATGGCAATGGATGCTTTCATAGACTTCTTTCAGACAAAATCTCCCCAAGAAAAGGGCTGGGGAGAAATGGCAACAGCAAGGGGAGTAAAAGTTCCCAAATTAAAAGTTTGTAGTTTAAATCTTATTGTAGGTGTTTATGAAAATTGTTTTTTCCTCTCGTTACCAGCAGAAAC